AGCGACAATTTCTCTGGCAGGGGAAGACTTTCACTGCATTTGTCAGAGCATGATTTTGCTGCTGACGCTCCTCTCGGTACCTCTGCTCCGGTCTATGAGCACCCTTCACCCCTGTCTTCCCAGCAGGCACCTTCAACCGCCCCTTCCAATCAAGCTCATGCAAGAAACGTTGCGTCAACGTCGCCAGCACCTGCGAACAGCCAGTTGGTTCCTTCGACCAAAGAGCCAAAAAGTGATAATGACAATAGACTGTATTATGACAATGGGAATGATAACATTCCTGTTAATGAGGGTGAGGGAATTACTTCAAATTCAAATTATACAGAATTCCACAATAACCCAAATTTGCATGGTCAAGAAAGTACTCCGAGGCCCTTGACATCCACGATAGTTTCTATTCTTAATAGTACAAATCAAGGCTTGCATAAATCTAGTGAGAAAATAGCAACGACATTTGCTTCGTTTACCCTGAGTGACCGGAAGGAACGCGCTCACTCCTATCACTTGAATCACGATGAGGACGACCAACTCTCAACTCAACAACCGGTCAGAACGAGGAAACGAGAAATAAATGAGGAAAATCAAGTGTTCACAGTCACTTACTGGATGTTCTACCCCTACAACTACGGGAAAGACGTGTGCACGATTAACCTTGGATATTACCTGGGCCGCATGTATAAGCTGCCAGTCAACGGAACCTGCTTTGGGGAGGAGATCGCCATGGGAAAGCATGTTGGAGACTGGGAACATGTTTCGATCCAGTTCAGGGTATGTTTTGCTTTGGTTCTTTTCTGTATAGGTGCATATGTGTTTTCATGTTCGTAAATTTCTATAGAATAGGCATCGAATTTGTTAATGACACTTTTCATTCCAGGGCACTGTACCGCTGAATATGTACGTATCGTCGCATAACTTTGGTGCTTACTATCAGTATGATTCCTACCATCAACACTTTGAGTACTCTGGGCAGGATACAAGGAAGGGTATTACAATGTCTCCTGAATATCCTAAGAGAGTCAGAGTGGAGAATTCTCACCCAGTATTATATTCGGCCCTGGGATCACATGGTTTGTGGGCGGCGCCAGGTAAATCAGTCAATCATTCCGTTTCACTGTGAACATACAGCTTGTTTTCTTGCCAGTCCGGAGACGATATTGGATAACTGTGATAAGCAAAACAATAAAGAGGACATTGTACTCCACAGGCCTGCACCTATATAACACATTCCCGCAGCTACAAGATCTCGCGGACGAGGGAACCGAGTGGCGTACGTGGCTTAATCTGGATGTCATCGATTTGAAAGATCACGCAACGCTAACGCAACCACACAGGTAAGGACATTACAAGAATACAGTTATTCCTTCGCTATGTTCTCTTATAAACGAAAACACTTGTTGATATCTTATTTTCACAGCAGCTGTAATGTTTGATATAACACTTGGTGTATTTCTGATATCTATCCTAAATATAGGCAATGGCTGGGTTACGAAGGTCGATGGGGTAATCCAAAGAGCAAATGCCACACACTCATGGCTGGCTTCTGCGAGCTTAACCAAGGTCCGACCGGAATTCCCAAGAAACGCATTAATTTCCCGTGTATCCGGAAACCATGAGGTAAATCATCAAACAATCGGGAATGAATGAGAAAAAAAACGATAGGAGTGTAATGCACCAACTTATGATAATCTAATAGATTTGTTTATATTTTTTGATAGAACCTCTTCATGTCTGCTGATATATATCGGCGATGTCAAGTGACGAATATTTCGTGTACTATTAGATATTTTCACGTTGTATTGTATCTGTTTGTTGTAGTTACTGTTGTATGTTAATAAAGTTGCAAGTCTCGTCTTTACTGAAAAATACTCAACAGTTTATTTGAGTGATTGTTATTTTATTATTTTTTGATGAATAACTGATAAAGTAATTTGTTCAAAATAAAAAACAAAAACACCTGAGTTTCTGTATCATCCTGTTACACGATAAGCACAATGAGCATTTTGTCAATGATAGTTCATAGATGGGTGCACACACAAATGAACACACGTGTATATGCATACATACACGCATTATACACACAATATATATATATACATATATATATATATATATATATATATATATATATATATATTATTTATATATATATTTATATATATATATTTATATATATTTATATATATATTATATATATACATATATATATATATATATATATATATATATATATATATATATATATTTATTTATATATATATGACTGCCGCGATAACTCAGTGGTTAGAGCACTGGACTCTGACCCTCGGGGTCCCGAATTCAATTCCCCGTCGTGGCAGTCGTAAAAGTGCCTGCGCTCTGACTGCTCGCTCGAGCTCGAGAAAACGACATATCGGCTTGAGAAGTCAGACGCAGGTGTCGTAGGGGAAGTCACCGTCATGACAAGCGTTAACGCGCCGAACCGCGGTTGATTAGGAAGGACATCCAATCAGGCAAGGGTGACACTGCTATATAACCTCTCAATACTGAATTAAGAGGGGCCTATGTCCTGCAGTGGAATAAATGGCTGTTGAAAAAAAAATATATATATACATATATATACATACACACACACACACACGCACACACACACACACATATATATATATATATATACATACATATATATATACTTATATATATATATATATATATATTTATATATGTGTGTTGTGTGTGTGTGTGTGTGTGTGTGTGTGTGTGTGTGTGTGTGTGTGTGTGTGCGAACATTATTAGGCCTTGCTGTGATATTTTTTCGTTTTAGTAGCTTCCAGGTGCCGGATTTACTAGCACTATTCAGGCGCAGTCACCTTATTTTGTTCTGTCCAGGGATCCTACAGGGCGAGATACTTCACTAACTGTAAAGGGAACCGAGATGAAAATCCCTGCCCAGCACGGCACCGCTGTGTTGGTCTTCTGCCCCAGCTAGAGAGGGAAAGACGAAGCCGAAACAAAAACTACAACACAATTACTAGGAAGCTTATTTCTTGATTGTCTAAAATGTGATTATTATATCATGTTGGGTATAATTTTGCTGTAAAAAAAAAGTAATATTTATTACAAGAAGTAGTAATGCCTTACTAAAGATTATCCAGACAAAATTTTCATTTGATCAAGGAAAGAAAACAAACGCACATTCCGACTTGCCGAAGACACGGGGCATACTTCAGACATCATTTACACTCTAAAATAAGAACCAGAGAACAATTATGATATGATATCCACAAATATCAAGATAGAAGATTGTTAAAAATAACAATGGATGAAATCAACAAGAAACTTTACTTTGCATGGGGTTTAATCATACGGCTGGCAATGCTGTGGCACGATCAGCAATTAATATTTTACTCAGTTTCAGTTATAGTATTTGCTTCCTCTCATCTTTAGTTTTTTTTTCAGTCCATAATTACATCTCTCGCACATTACTGATTGCACTATTAGCGGTATAAGCTACTGGAATGAATATTGTCGGATTTTCTGTTTCTGTTGAAATTTGGAGTATCGGAAAGGCATGGTGTATGGCAATTAATAAAGTGGGAGGATTGGCTTTTCCAAGTTTAGTATCTTTTTTAAATGATTTCAATCGATATGCGATGATAGTCATAGAATCCATGACTATCTTCGATGCGTGGTTTATCAAGTTTATCAAGTTTATTGTATTCTCCACGGAAGAACGCTGCGCCTAATGTGACCAATCCTGCTCTGCAACTGAACAGCACTCGACATCCTTCCTTAACGTTCAAAGTTGTTATTCACTAAACCCAAACTGTCGTGTGTGTATTGGCATACGACTTATGCCAAGCAGAGTTGCCAGATGTACATTTCAATGTGAATTAAGGGGACTGTCCCTAAAAGTGGTGGGGTATGATGGAAATGGGGGAAAAGGGGGTGAGGGGGTAATTCATTTTAGCGTTGGTAAAATAAAGACTGTCTTGTCTATTTTCTTCAAATTTGAACATTTTTCTTATTTTGCATTCCACACGTTTGGTGGTAAATTTGTGGAAATTCCCTCAATAGGTGCGGTACTCTCCTCAAAAAACTTATTTTAACAATTTCTTCCATATAATTTCCTTGTGTACCGCTACTTGCTCACACTGTTGCATATTTTGCATAGAAAAATATCAGCATAATCGTTGATAAAATCGGGTCCCAAGTTCTAATGAAATAAAAAAGTCACCCCAACAAAAAGAAAATTCCTATTTTTTGGAACATGACCCAATCCAGAAACAAGGTTATTGCGAGTATCAGACCATCTGTATTGATGTTTTCATACATGTACAAGTGTTAATAAATTTGTGCATATCTGTATGGAAGTAGATAATCACATACGTGCATATGCACACATATGTACTCACTGACTTGAACGACTACTACCCCAATACAAACGCTGGCCCCAGTAGCAAACAGAAACCACCGTCCACATAAGCAGTCCTCAATAATCCCTTTCGGCAACTGGAGGTACAAGACGCTGAGACAAAATGGAAGAATTGTATCATAGGCATAACCTCCGCATGCTACCACTTCTTCCCTCCCCCCTCAAAAAACAAAACAAAAAACACTGTGTAAGCATCACACCGACCTACCCTGGATCTCTGACACAATCAAAAGAGTGACAAATCAACAAAATCATGCCTATCGCACGGGTAACACCACTCTTTGCAAATCCCTAGCAACAAAGTAATCTGAGAAATTAAATCAGCAAAGCTCATTTCTACCCTTATAGACTCCAATATCTGAAAAGAACCAACCAAAGCAATTGGTATGGCAAGATAAAAGAATTTAATGGGCTAAGCAAAGGACCGCGCACGTTCCCTGACAGTCATCAAGAAAGCATTCGCAGACTTCCTCGCAGAGCGCCGTCAGGCAGTCCGCCTGCAGAGTGCCACGTCCTCCTTTCTGCCTCTTACATATGGGTTGCCCCAGGGCACCAAGTTAGGTCTGCTGTGTTTCTCAGTGTTAATAAACGATGCTCTCCGTGACATTGGTAGTATGTCGATGACTAAACTATTACAGCTGCCGTCAACAACACGTCCTGTAACTACCAACCATTACAGGATACCTCAAAGAACCTGCTCATCTGGAGTATCACGTCACTCTGAATCACAACAAGACGCTGGTGATGCACCACCCAGACCCCCCGCCCTGCATCTTTCAGACTGTACATGTTGCGTCGCCTCAAGACCATGGGAGTGCCTCCATCGGAGATCACTACCATCTGCAAGACCTCCATCCTGCCGAAGCTGACGTATATATCTCATGCCTGGTCCTCCAGCCTCAATGCCACGCAGCTTCTGATACTAAAAAAGGTTCAGAAGAGAGCAAGGAGGATCATCTTTGGTTCATTAGACAACGGATATGAATTTCTTCTTACCACCCTCGGACGCTGAACAACCCGCGCCCTCGACATCTCCCCTGCTCGACCCGCCTCCCATACGCGCCCTCACACACACAAGCTCGTGCTTATAGTGTTTCACACGGACAGACATAAGGACAGCCCGGTGCCAACGGTAGTTAAGCTCATTAATAAAAATTAGCTTTTGTTTAATTCTCTCTTTGTAAATAGGACTTGTGTTTTGATTTCCAGCTAATCTAATAATTTTCTGTGGTTTCTTACAGTGCATCATTGAAGGAATCTTAATATCTCATTGTAGTTTTCGGTTGTAAAGCTCCTATCCTCAAATCAATTAAAAAAATGTACAAATATGTGCATATGTGCACTTGTGTTAGTACATTTGGGTGCATATGTGTGTACATGTACATGTAAACATGTATTTATGTGTATTCATGGGTACATGTGTACAGTAAGTCTATAAGAAAGAAGGCCAAGTATAATGGACATTTTTTTTATTTGCCAAAACTAAATGAAGGTCAATTTCTGCGCATTTCCATTAGCTTTCCGATGTTGGGAACAAGTCTTAGAGTGGATATAAACTGTTTGAGAATCTCGGTACAGAAGCTCGAAAATTCCAGTTTGAGGAATTTTCTGAATCTTTCCTTTAATAAAAAAATATCTAATTAACTATGAAGCTACACCCATATTTCTTTCAAATGTCGTTTGTTGCAATAAGAAGTCTTGACTGGTTCCCGAGTTGCAGTATAATCTAAAATGGTACCTTCATATATATGCTAACCTCGGCAACATGATGCATGCATAAACGCATTTAATGCTTGACTGTTCGTGTTTTCTAGCATCTATATATGCTTACATATGCACACATGTGTATGTGGGTGTACATGTACAATTACGCATATATGTGTATATGTATGTGCATATGTGCACTTGTGTTAGTACATTTGGGTGCATATGTGTGTACATGTACAATTACGCATATATGTGTATATGTATGTGCATATGTGCACTTGTGTTAGTACATTTGGGTGCATATGTGTGTACATGTACATGTAAACATGTATTTATGTGTATTCATGGGTACATGTGTACAGTAAGTTTATAAGAAAAAAGACCATGTATAATGGACATTTTTTTTATTTGCCAAAACTAAATGAAGGTCAATTTCTGCGCATTTCCATTAGCTTTCCGATGTTGGGAACAAGTCTTAGAGTGGATATAAACTGTTTGAGAATCTCGGTACAGAAGCTCGAAAATTCCAGTTTGAGGAATTTTCTGAATCTTTCCTTTATAAAAAAAATATCTAATTACTATGAAGCTACACCCATATTTCTTTCAAATGTCGTTTGTTGCAATAAGAAGTCTTGACTGGTTCCCGAGTTGCAGTATATTCTAAAATGGTACCTTCATATATATGCTAACCTCGGCAACATGATGCATGCATAAACGCATTTATGCTTGACTGTTCGTGTTTTCTAGCATCTATATATGCTTACATATGCACACATGTGTATGTGGGTGTACATGTACAATTACGCATATATGTGTTATGTATGTGCATATGTGC